ATGTTGCTTATTTTTCAACTTGTAGCCAATTACGAATTTGCATATGCATTATTAATATTACAAGCAATCTGCTATCGGACGGAATGATTATGCAAGTCGGGAAGCCATCATATCTCAAGGGATGTTATTAGCATAATGATAACAGACAGTTACATACCAGTGTCCATTTTCATATAGATTTATTGTCTTATTAATAACATGCACACACGTACATTGTATATGATAACACCCTTTGGTATTTACGCTATGGTCTTTTTGACATGAATGTTGTCTACATCTGGTCATCTTACTTTATTACTGTATTAGAGTCATCATCGCTAAAATAGATTTAACATTTTTTTTCTATATATTATATTGACCGATATGCATTAAAATAAATTTACAAATGGGCAGGTTTTAACGATATGCCTTGTTTAAACGGCTTGGAAACCAGGGTCACTGACTGGACTTGTCATTAAACCAACATAGGGTGTAATATTGTTCGACGGCAAGTAGTAAACCCTCATTCAAATTGTTTTGGCTTACCCTCTTTCATTGTCATCGGCAATATTTATTATATCCCAAGTAAAAGTATTGAGCTGTCCATTTGTTTTTTTCTGGTTGCACATACTAATTTCACGGTGAAATTATTTTTTTCTGTAATGTCATTTTGGTTGTAAAAAGGTTATGGTTTTAATAGCTTTACGGGTATATTTTTTCTAATTTTTTGTGCCTCATAATTATTATATTTTTTATACTTTGCTTCATGTAAAGATTTGTTTTGGTCATTTGTATTCAGCTATGACAATTTCTAATCATTCAGAAAGTGTTACAATATGAAAATCATGCTCAATTTACTGCATAGACTGTATGAATCATTTGTCGTTCAGGTTTGGGAAGAAAAAAAGGATGCGCATAAAAACAAGATAGAGACGGCCAGATAAAGTTGTTTTAGTTAGTCTATAAACAAAACAGACACAGCTACAAAACCTCTCAAGTTATCTATCAGACAATGAAAGATATTAAATAAAATTAATTGCTATGAGACACTGCTCGTGGCGCGGCGAAAGTATAGAAGGAAGTGTATAGGACAGCGACTATATGTTCCCAGATCTTTTTGGGACCATATACACCCTAAAGCTGATGCATGTTAGCGGATTTCCAAGATTCAATCTAACTCAAGACATGCAGTCCGGGACGTCATGATCCTGTCCTGGGCATACATGGTGGTTGAGATTGATGCTCATGTTTCACTGGCGTGTGCACCCCACAATGAATTTTATATGCTGGTGTGTCAGGGGCTGTACCTTTGCCTTATTGATCTTTGTTATCATCTAGTAATGTCCATTGATAACGATATGCTTGTGCCCTCAACGAGAAAAGAATGGGCGAACTAAACAAAATGCACTTTTAAAAGGTGTAAGAGGTTATGAAATAACATGAATGAAGCCTACATCACAAATAAGCAACGCCCCTCCGTCAGATGATGTTTTCAAGCAGGGTTATCAAATACAATATTCTAGATAGCCCCTTTAAAATTGATTTAGGTTTTTGTATAACTATGTTCATATTAAAAAAAACGACAAATGCTTCAAATTATCGCAAAATAAATACACCAAAAGACATTGTCCATTACCCTCGATCTATATCAATAAAGGTATTATATAATGATTATTTTATAATGCATGTGCGCATAAAAGATACTTCCTTCTTTTAACCTCAGATGTAGAATAATATGGTAATGGACAACACAGACAACATCTATTTTCACTTATTCATTTCTCCCTGTGAGCAACAAGAGTGAAAAGAGTCTGACCTATTTCTCACGATGTGAAATTTCAAGGTGAATTCTAAGTTCTAGTATTTCCTGCAGTAAGTTAGATTAAAAGTGATTCATTTAACTTCACACTTTTCATCCCTGTTAATAAAACTGTTCAGAAATGTATCAGAAAAGCAACATGTAGTCTGTTTGTTAATTGATGCTATTGTATTTCTTATCTGTCAGAAGAAAACTCATTTTAATGAGCGATACTGTCGCGTTTCGTGTGAAGAATAAGACTGAATTAACTGATAGTGTTTGGAGTAAATACCATCTTCATAGGAAAATTTGAAATTATCCTGAATCTACGTGAGCGGTAAAATTATGAGAACAATGAGCAACAAGGAAGGGCGACATTCAGCCCCCAACAAAAACAGCAAGCAACTCAGGACCAGCAGTGAACTAAACAATAATAACAGCAGTTGACACAAGGGTCTAGCATAGGTGGGGCGTTATTTAAAACAAAAAAAAATGTAAAATCATTCAATGACTTTAAAGAAAGCAATGATTTAAAAAGGCCAACTCTTACGCAACAAGAATCGTTGACTTCATAAAATATTGTTTAATACAGGTATATACATCAACGAATATAAAGTTGTATCACGCAGCCTGCAGATTATAAAATCATGTAATTTCTGTGAATTTATAAAAGAACCTTCCAAAAATGCTTTATAAAAGAAATATGTATATTTCCTTTCCAGGGAATGGTGCATTGAAAAAAAATTGCTTCATCTTGAAATAGCAGCATAGTATTTTGTTCCCGAACATTTTATTCTGTTTACGTACTATATACATGTGTGTTAAATGTTTGTGACAGATAGAAACATTTCATGTTACAACTCCTATTTTTTTTTAATCCGATCATAAGATAATGGAAATAACTTTTTTTTTTCTTTTTGAATTTTATAAAAGATATTTCATTAGATATAGTTTTATACCCTTTAATGCACACACGCTCTCTCCATTATTTGCTTTACATTAGAATTGTATTGTTATATAAAAAACAGCTCAAAGTTGTAAGTGTACATGTTACAAATGTTTTTATATCAAAGCAGATGAAACCTTAACACAGAAATAGACCAGCAGAAATTATAATTGGTTAGCGTAAACAGCGTTTCTGTTATTTACATGTGCTAATTTAGTGTCATTGATCGTCTGGTAATGTGATAGCTAGTTTCGCTCTCTGACGTCAGTAATTTACGATATATATATTTCTGTTCACACTAATCGTTATGTTCATTCATTTTCGTTGCTAAAATGCTGGTCATTGACTGTTACTTATACAAACATTTGGCATGATTTAACTACTTGTTTTGATTGACCAAATGAACAGGCTCAATCAAACGGAGCCTGCAACATTTTCAACTAGTTGTGTTGGACTTTCTTTAGGGGTTCTTATTTTCTCTATTTTGGCAAATACTGTTATACATTCTTCAACATTTCGTTCATAACACAAAGTTAGATCTTTCCATAACAACAATGTTACCGACGATTTGTTATGCTCTTGTTCCTATCAGGTCGTTTTAACTCTATATGTTTAAACATCAGTATTAATCGGCTGTATTCCCTTCAACCAATATTTTTTTGCAATGGAGCGTCCATGGCCGAGTGACTTCAAACCAACTTGATCTCACCGCTGTATGTTCGAGTTTTAAATAATTTTATGTATGGAAGCTTTACTTACAGAACGTCGGTGGCTCTACTGGAGTGCATATCTTGTCTAAACACTGCACTGAGGGGAAGTTATACCACTAATTGTACAATTAGGAAAATGCAATTTGACCATAAAAGTGTCGGCGTGACTTAAATAAAAAATAAAACCATTATTTTATGATTATTTTTAAAATTAATGAAAATTATACTAATGGATGAAAATTATCAATAAAATATTACAATATTGACATTTTGCTGTTGGATGTTTGGTATTTGCTTAGCAACTGCTAAATAGTATTCCACCGTTATACGGAATATCATTACCTAAATATCAATGTGGAATTAGAAACAAGGGAAATTAATGAAACAAATAGGGTAAATATCAACATGGAATTAATGGATTTGCATAGAAAACACAAAAGAGCAGACAAAAACGCAGTAATCCTTTTTTATGCGTGTACCTAAATACCCGAATGTGAACATTGTAGCAATCGAAATGCAAATATTAACGCATATCATCCGTGACATTTTTGAAATATTAATTTCCTATTCGTTAATGGGAGTTATTCTAACTCTTACTGTAAAGTGCACCACTTGCCATAGATTTATTTACTTGTGCGTATGTAACTCAAAATCGGATCTCCTCATACATTCTTCAGTGCAGTTTTCCCCCGTTTTTACGCCGAATTTTCCATCACTCACTACGAAATAGCATGACATCCCTAAAATGGCAATGAGCACCTAAAAACTTAGTTGTTTGTAAGCTAGAGTGATTTCGTGTCTTAAAACCTATAACTGGAAACGCATTGTTTCCCCGCCAAGAGAAGTCAAAAATCTTAGTGGAATTTAGGAATTATTTAATCAGTGCAGTTGACTCAAAACACTTTAAACATAAAGTAGGAAGATCTGAAAAGTTACTTTTCATATAATGTATGATTTATGACAAGCAGATTAAATAATAGATGACAAGTAACTTCTCATGTTAAACGTTTGATATCATAACAGTTTTTATTCTAGATAACAAAATGAATAACTAAGGTTTGTGGGTATATAATATAAGACTCTTACACGTCTGCCGGTACAGGAGGTATATCTAATTCAAAGGTAGCTATTTAAAGTAGCGGTAACGAGGCTCTGCTGAGTTTCCGTTAAACAAGTAACCCGAGATCTGTTGCAACAGCCGGTGTTTGATTCTTTTCTTGCATATAACATATTAATAATATTTCGGAAAGAAATTACGAAAACTAATATTTCTATTTTGGAAGTTTTTTCTTATAATAGCGTATGAATTTACAACTTCATTCATAACGGTAAAATGACGACATTTTAGTACGCAATTCGACTTGTTATACAAGGGGGCTGTAGGCCAGGTTTTACTAGCACCCATGTAAACGGTAGCTAATTCTGATTTCGATATGCAAGAAAAAGATTTCACCCCTCGGTAAAAGTAATGTTATCAGTATTTTCCTCTGGGTGATATTTTTACTGTTAACCACAAACCTATATGTTATTGATATATTGGCACATCAAACGACTATAAATGCTTACACACCGTTTTTTTAATTTATTTCTTTTCTATGGTAACAAAATGTACATATACGATGAACATGATATGAAATATTAGATAATTACAAGTCTATTTCTTAAATATATACAATGTATTTCTAAAACGATTTTAACACAATTTTAAACCATTTTAAATCATGACTTTAAATGACAGAAATGCTAGCATGACACTTTATCATATTGCCATACGCATTTATGGCAATTGCTTAGAATGATACAAATAATCTATATTGCAAATCTGCGAAGTTAACACAACAAAAGATAAATGTAATTTTCTACCTTTGTTACTCACTGTAATTGAATCTGTCCATTCATTAACGTAATGAAATTTCTTAAATATATGAACGACTAATAAAAGAAATCAGTTATTTATGGTGTTTGTTTTTATATATTTCTGCATAAAGTTATACACACAGGACTACATTGAAACTGATCAATAGTGACAGTAGACAGTCGATGATTCACAGTAACTTGTACACAAACCAGATCTTAAAATTGAGCCGTGTCATGACAAAACCAACATAATGTGTTTGCGACGAGCATGGATCCAGACCAGCCTGCGCATCCGCGCAGTCTGATCAGGATCCATGCTGTTCGCTATCAGTTTCTCTACTTGTAATAGAGTTGGTAAGCGAACAGCATGGATCCTGATCAGACTGCGCGGATGCGCAGGCTGGTCTGGATCCATGCTGGTCGCAGACGCATTATGTTGGTTTTGTCATGACGCGGCTTAAATCATACATAGCAGACGACATCTTCTTTTCTTCACACACAGATCACTTGTCAGTAAGACTGAGGACGATTGTCACTAACGTGTCACATATTGAAATTTTCATGATAATATCCGTATGAACACACCTGCGGATTTTTTCTTAATTCCAATTTTTACCATTTCATCTTGAATTCTGCTTAAGCCGGTGCTAGGGGTCGTGAGCGGTGGCCTGCACTTTCCAGTACGAATGTTTTAAGAATTTTGCACAAAAGAAAATCCTAATTGCCTGTTTTATATGATACACAGTTTATTTTGGTGTTACAAAGTTCATATGGATGGAAATACTCTGACATAAACTTGATCATATCTTTGATACAAAGAAACGGAATTGAACTAGTATTTTCATTGCCAAACAAAAAGAGTTAATAAAATAAGTTAACCCTCGTGAAGATAAAACTTGAACATAAAATACATGTATATATTTGTTTGAACACTCATAAGAACTTCAAAAAAATATGTTGCGCATTAACTTATTTGAAATAGATATAATATCACCATTAAAATATTGCTTAGATTTGTGTACGCTAAAATCCATATTCCTGAATGATATTTAAGATAGGCCAGTGTTAAAACAGAAAGCTTAGTAGCATCACGCTTCTGATAGAGTTAAAACAGCAATTAGCAAAAAGGTATGATGAAAAAAACTACCAACATCAAAAGTGAAAATAATTTTTCAGTATGAATAAGCCTAAAATTGTAAGCCCGTGATATGAAAACTTGCCGTTTAGAATGTACACTTTCACTGATGATTACATTTTTTATATTTTTCAAGTGCCTTGTTTTCGAAAACTAGATTATTTATGAAACGATTAAGTTCTAAATCAAACATGGCATTACTGTGCTACAATATGAATAGTTCAACGTGGCAATGCGACTAATTTATGTCGCCAATGATGTCAATAAAGCATACGAAGGTCACGTGTTCGAGTAAATCTAGATAAATGGCAGCAAACACAAATGTTATGACGTCGACTTTGGTGCAAAGATAATTCCTTGAAATGGTACAAGACAATTGGTTTTCATTTGGTCGGCTAATAATAAATGTATAAATCATCCACATTTTTAAGAAGATTTGTGCTCTTCTACGTCGTAAATTTATATATTATTCTATATTATATACTATACTCGAATGTAGTTCCTAATAACTTCTTTAAAACCATAATCTTAAATGTTCTGTTATTGCTGAGACGAATTCACATGAAGGATTCTCGGCATATGTGTTTTATCTAATAATCTTCCGAAACCAATCCTAACAAACACATGGTCTGTCTTATCTTGCAACAATATTCATGTCTCTTGATATAAAGCCTTTAACCCTGTTTTGACAATAGCACTTGAACGAGTTCGTTTTCATTATCATCAAGTGGAATTGTTAGCGGATGATAACTCAGCTTTCAGTGCCTCGTCTAAATGTTGTAGGACAAATTTAATTAGAAGTCTATATATGACGTCCATGTTATCTGTGTATCGATCACCCAATGTGATCATCACAGCTTTCAGGAATGGCTCTTCAATTCTCTGAAAAGGAAAGGAGTTTATTTATACATGAATATAAGCTTACAACTGATACAAGATCAATCAGAGAAACATATGTTTTATTCTTTTGTTTTGTTTTTGAAATGAAATCGATTCATTGACAAATATATTAAATTGCCGCTACTTTCAAATGCCATTTACATTATTGAGCGTAAACTTTATTAACAGTCGATGAAGAAATACTTAAAACCATTGATTTTTATTAGAAATTATATCAGTTAAATAAAGAGATGACAATCTTAGCGTTAACGAAAGATGCTATTCACAATATTAATGTTTAAATGAAAGGCTCAGTTAAAATGAGCCTAAAATATTTCGATTTTGCCATAATTGGTAAATTTACATATCCCAGATTTTGATTTGTAGTTTAAAATATTGATTAATCTTATTAAAATCCAACACTGAGAATTTCATTACATCCAACGTAATTAACTAAAACGTTTATGAAGATATGAATATTTTAGGAAAGCATGTGACTGTGAAATTTTTTACACTAATATAACAATATACATGTATTTGGTTAAAGTTTATACTTGGTTTAAACAATTGATTTTTTTAAAAATATATAACTAGTATTTATAAATAAATGTTTTTATAAACGTCTCACTGTTATAAAGTACTTTCCAATACAGTAAAATATACAAATTATATATAAAATAACTCAAAATGGGTATTAAACGACTATGATAATATAATGTAGTATCTATAGTTTACAACACAATACAATGCTAATAAGGTAATAAAACATTAATATTTTATGATATAACAACAATAAGATAATTACGCCGTTCATTTAATTAAAACAATAACGAATGTTTCACAAATACGATTTGTTTAGAATTATTAAAAAAACTAGAAAAGTCTGAATTTATACTTAATGTCTTATCATTATGTGTTTGTCGGTACGACTGATATAATGTATATGTACGTTTACTCGTCTTAAATTTTTTACATTACAATAAAAAAGCATTTTTAGTTTAATTGCGTCAATCCTACGTATTAACCTGTCTCTCTTTTAATGGGCGCTACTATCACCTGATTTTGGCAAAAGCGTTTCGCAGAGATCTTAAGAAAGAGATACTTTTACTAGTATTCAGTTTTATAGTCTTTTTAAAAAGTCTAAATAATTTTAACTCGATGCCACATTGTCGATTTTGTCCACGTTCTGCATTAAAAACACATCTAAGCATATAGTGATCAAGCATACGGGTTTAAAAACGAAATGCAAATAACTTAACGCTCAGTTTTCTATAAACTAAATCAAATGCATGATATCGTTACACCAAAGTTAAATCTTTGAATAACTTATAAATAACACCAGGATTTTTGTTTGCCTAAATCACCATATGAATACCGTTCTGTTCATTCATGTAAAATGTTACAAAGTAGAGTATAACTGATATGTTTATTGCTTACAATCGTATGTACATCAGGGGGACCAATTGTCGGATACGAGATTAAATTATTGACCTTAATAATTGATTATCTGCCAAAAGTTTTGCTATGGCACAAGAGGTCGCATTAATCACCATGTCAAAATAAATCAGTGTAAACAAACACACAAGGACTACAGAATTTATTGGATAGCAAGGAGCAAAACTTTGCCCAAACCGAGCTGCAACATTTTCAATTTTACCGATCTGCGCTTTTTTAGGGATTCCGTTTTCTCTATATGAAATAATGTTTACATATACATCAGCATTAAACAGAATGCTTTGTCGTTATATAAATAGAGGATATTTGTTTAGTTCAGTGTAAGATCGGAATATATTTCACCGAGAGAGCACCAAAAGGTATATTAATATGAACTTTTGGTGTTCACAAGGTGAAATATATTTGGATCTTACACTAAACTAAACAAATTTTCTTTTTATTTCATGCAAAGAAACGTTTTAAAAAGACATTAAACCTAATACCGAACGAAAAGCGCGCCAAATAATAATACAACGTGACGTCATTTACGACGTCACGTCATTAAGTTGGTACCCAGTACTGTGCACGCTGGTATTTCTCTGAAACAACGTAAGGGGCTTAAATTCAAAACAGTGAAATTATCAAAGTGGTAATTTCACTGTTTCAAACAGTGAAATTCCCAGTTTTAATACACTGATATATTTCTATAAACCAACGAAAAGCATGTAATAAAGACAATTTACTAAGTGAAAATGTCCAGAAAAAGTGACAAGAAACAGAAAAAACCTCTGTGAACTAATCATTTCAGACTAATTGCGTTATCTGTTTAAATTAATGTAAACTCTCTCTCTGTTCTTTTGAAGCGCTTTTAAAATTGATGATTTGTAATCTTTATTTGTGTTTACATATGCCTAAATGTAAAGCATTTTACACAATAAGTATGTTTATGTAGACGCTCTTGAAAATAATACAAAAGACTTCTGTTAAAAGTACAGGGATATCTGACACATTGGCTGTTGTAATAATTTTGACTTTATTAGTCCGTTTTTTCCAATCATCAAGAATACCATTAGAAATAGAGAACTTAAAATAAGATGAAAGTAAAATAAGTTCTTTTATGCCACATAACATGCTTAAATGTTAAGAAATCGATTCCTTGATTACGAAATGTTTGCGTGAGAGTGAAACAATTGATATCTGATTCGGAAAGAGAGTTTAAACAAGTATTTGCAAAATAATAACATGCATCATTTATTTCAGGGATTAAACAATACAATAAAATGTACAATATGGAGAATATTTGTGTTTTGCATGTAAGACCGAAGTATATTTCACGAGTGAAATATCATTTGATCTTACATATAAAACCAAACTTTCTATTTATTTCATGCTCTTTAGGGGTTTTAAGTCATTTTTACTGATTTTTTCCGCGTTACGACATGTGCTCTCATTTTTGACGTCATCAAATCATGACGTCACATTGCTCAAGTTGAAAAATAAGTATGTAAAATTTGTTTGAATTCTGTAACATTTTAAAAATGAGATAACAATTGCTTATTTTCATCAAACATATTTTACTCACGACGGAATGCTTTCCCGACGAGATTTCCGCTCATTGTTTTCATCCGCATTGAGATATAGTCCGGCTTCTAAGAAAATTATGTATTATTATTTCACTGTGAAATTATCAAAATATAATATGAGTGTCCGTTGAAAAACATGTAGATCTAATAAGATATAAAATTATTTACCCAAAAATAGCTTGGTGAAAATCCAGTAAAACGTTTATGCATTGCTCCTGTCACTTTGAGAAGCTGGAGAACATCATCAACATTGTCTATATTATTTATAACTTCATCTATTACTTCTAAAACTTTAGTTCCATGTTTTTCAAGATTTTCACTAATTCTCAAGCCATCTTCAGTATCGATGTTTCTAAATTTTTCAAATAACACTTTTGTATCCTCATTTGCCTTGAACATTCTGAAAAGAGAAAATGTTTCAATGATTTAACAATATTTTATTTCATTTTACACTTGTGAACATGGTGTGTTAGATAAAAAAATAAAAGAGCACACTTTAAATTGTATGGTATGAACTAGTTTCAGTCTGTCACTTTTTATAAAATAAGAAACTCCTTTAAAGATTGACCCAATGCAATATTAAAATAATACCTGAACAACCTTAGCTACAAATTAATTAATTAATTAATTAATAAGTGAAATGCACGGAGTTTCTGATATTCGGTTAAGATTAAAGCATTTTAACGCATGCTTTCAGTAAAAGTATTTCATCTTCTAAACTCATCCAAAAATACAAGAAAACGTGAAACTATGACAAATGAAAGTTAATCATGAGTTTTAAGATCTCATAATTAAAATTACCAAACATATCGGATAACACAATTCTGATTTTCTACCAATGTCAATAAGCAGTACTGACACAACACACGTGGTAAAATTGTTGCAATAAATTAGTTTGCTTGTGAAAGGCATGTGTCACACGGATGTTTAGCCTGTCTGCGCTCCAGGCACTCCGGACCAATTTCTACGATCTTAGTCTTTATCATTTGGAAATTATTTCACCTTCCTAAAGATTACATTACTCTTATATCATTACACATTTTTTGTGTTGTTTTATTCTCGTCTGGTGTGATATTGTCGTCTGGTGTGATACATAAATCCATTGACACTTGTGCTGTATTATTCCTCGAGGGTCTTACTAAATATTATAAGATTCTTACACCGGCTGCCGGTACAGACCGGAATATCTAGCTCGAGGGTAACTGTTTATGGCGGTAACGAGGCTCTGCCGAGTTTCCGCTAAACAGTTACCAGAGAGCTAGATATTTCCGTCTGTACCAACAGCCGGTGTTTGATTCTTTTTCTTGCATATTACATGTCAATTATTTTCGGAACAGAAATTATGATAACTGATATTCTCATTACGCACTTTTTTCTTATAGTAGCGTATGAACTTATAACTTCATTCATAACGGAAAAATGACTTCATCCTAAGAACGCGATTCATTCATAAAAGGCGCGCGTCAATGACGTCATTTAAAGCACGCGACTTGTCTTACATGGGGGTGTAAGACAGAGTTTTCTAGCACCGGTGTAAATGGTAGATAATCCTGTCTGAGATGCAAGAAAACTGTACTGTATTATAAGAGAACCGGTACATTATAAAACATTTATATATACATTTGAAAAAAACAATGGCTTTCTGTTTAATTGGATTGTTTGTGTCGATATGATAATGGTTTCAGTGAGAGCCATTAATGTAGTCCATTACTATGATGCCAATATCATCAGGTGACTATCAGAATCTGTCTCTCGAGAAGGAGAGACGATTCGCGATGTTTCAAAATGAAGAACATTCATGTCTTTGCTGGAAATATGCTTAGCGTTCAAAGTTTAATTAATATTATTTATAGAAACCTTGGACAAAATATGTAACTATATAAAAATCATGTGAACTTTTGAAAGCAACACTGTACAAATGTATCAGATACAAAAATATCATACAAAAATATCAGATACAAAAACTAATTTTGATAATAAATTGTCTAAATCAAATGCAAGTTATCAAATTTACAAGATCTTAGTGTCAGAAAAAGGGATCTGAATGATATGGTATAAGATTTTGCCATGAAATAAGTGACTCATCAGGCTATGACCACGTGATATACACAACGAAAAATATTCTATAAAAGTCAGAAACTAAAAAATACTATAGAAGTCAATGCCCTCTTTATTCCTATACCTCAAGATCATGGAACTGTATTGGATATGTCATATACAGTAATCATTCTTTTACAAAAATTATCCATTATAATATTTGGTAACAAAATTATGTTGCGGACAGATTGTATCTTTAAAAAAGTGTGCATTTGTCCATTTTCTATTGTAATGCTAGCGTAACTTGATACTTTGCTTGACAAAAATAACTTTGGACACAAATAGATTGCTCTGTAAAATATCGTTACATCGATTTTAGCGTCTCGGATTAGGCTAAAAATACATTAAGAGCCGAATCAAATGAAGATCAATGTCAAACCTCTAGACTTTATTAAATTGTCCGATTTGCACAGAAGACAGACAACATAAACTTAAAAAAGATACAAAAAAAAAAAACGTTTACTTTTTTTTATTTCGCGTGTGTTAGTCAAATGGTTGATTTTGTAAACAATGAATTTCATGTAGTTAGAGCAGTTTGCACATTGTGACTGTAAATGTGACCACGGTAAATTATGAACGAATCAACAGCATATGGTTCATTTAGATGAACGCAAGGAGATTACAATTAATGGAACCATTAATAATAGAACGAGGTCATGATAATCGATTTAAGTCACATATGGATTGTAATATATATTTTTTTGAAAATACATATATTAAAAACGAAGAAGTACGTTCTTACTCGTACATAAAGATCATCGACTGGTTAATTGTTTTTTATCAGAATCATTTAAGCAATTTAATAAGATAGATATGAGTAGATTTATAGATAGATTTATTTCACTATTCAGCAATAACATCGTAAAACACATCCAAAAGTCAAACGAGTACAAAAAGCTGTACGAAGTAAGTATTAGCATATTGGCAGTTCAAATTAAGATAAATATTTTTATTAAATGAATGTTTTTCTTCCTGATTTGTAAGTCTAAAACATTTGTTTTAGCTCAAAATGGTGTATTACTACTTTTTCACCCGTATCGAATCACGGTGTATGAACTTTTTCAGCCTTGTCATTCTTTCATTTTCAGTTGTGAATAAATCAAATGGCAATTGTGATTTGTTAACAAAAAGTACGGGGCGACAATAAACACACTAATTACATTCTACATTTTTATTACTGAAAGGATCATTGCAAGCCTGTCGATAGTCGATACACTTGGCGAAGTAAAAAAGAACCAGATTGTTGATATTCAATACACTTGGCGAAAATATAAAGAGAATGGGTTTCTCTGTATGAATTAAAAGTTTTGTAAACATCTGCTCATGGAATAGTTTCTGATGCTACAAAAAGAGATTTTTAACCAAGTTGCACTTATTTCAATTAAAAAAAAATCTCAATAGTTTTCAATCGTATAACTTGATTAAACGCCTTATAGCCTCATATTATTCAACTTTAAAGGGAAAACATGAATTGTCTCCCAATTAACACGAGCAACTAGAATCGATAATTCATGTTTGTTGTTGATGAACTGACAAAGACCACTTTACAGTATTAAAACGTCGTTCACTTAATAGATTAAGTATCTTACAGTCATCAAACATCCTGCCGTCAATTTTGCTCCACTAAAAATGGCTCGTTTTAAAAGATGCGAAATTAACGGAGTTAAATGTCTTCTTTTTTAGCATTATGCCAGTAGTTTGTTAATGGGGTAAAATGATATTGCGAGCATGGTTTCTACGAAACGATTTCCGTTAGTTGAACAGGAATATTTGAAAAAATCGTTTAAATATATGTCGGCACCTTCAAATCTTTCTTATCTTTTATCTAATTGGCTTACATGATCTACATGTAATCCTTAAAGAGACATCATGTCCATCCAAGTGTAAATAGTGAGTGCACAGCATAAAATTACTTAAAAATTTACATGACCCACGGATATTTCTTTACCATGAACATGTTTTATTATCAATTATTGATCAATAACCATTATATTAGCCAATCTCTTGAAATATACTACTAATTCAACGAACATTTTAGCGTAATGGCCACTTTAAAATATTTCAAACATAGACATTCTAGATATAAGAATAAGGTTAACACGACGTGCATTTTTGTTATCCATAAATCGACCAGACTTTATCATATACTATAGAGGATTCAGATACATTCATAATTTAATGATAACCGGCATTTGAATCTATTATAAAAATATTCAATTTCGTCACAAATGCATAGCAAGAAACGGTAAAATAAAAACGTATTTCTCTTCATATTGAGAAGCTGTTCCTACATTAACTGCTCCATCGATTTGTTATCTAAATGTCTGCTGTCGTTTAACAGATACAGATATTTCAAAGTTGCTGTTGTTGTTTTTATTGCTTATTTTTCCATTTTGAATTATCGATTAAACAAAGTACATGTAATAGTATTAAACATACATTTAGCAGCAACTTTGTAAACTAGTCGTTTCTCTAGGTATTTTAATATTCCAAATTCCATATGATTAATAAATACGCTTTAATTCCGTGTTATTGTGGTTTTATTGTTATAGATTTAGGCATAAAAAATATTGCATTGTATTGTTATTTATAAAACTTCAAAAGATCAGCATTTAGTTTAAACAGATTTTATCTTACTTCGACTGAATAGGAATCTAAATGTATAAGCTTTTAGACACTCTCGAAGTTTTAACAAAATGAGTGTATGTTTTGAAATAAAATATATTGATTTTGTTTTTCATTATTATAGTTTCATTTCTTTCTACTATAAATGACACAAGGATAGGCTGGTTATTGTTTTTGTTTGGCCAGGACGGCATAATGCTATCATCTTGATACACTGATGTTGTTCTAGTTGGAACCATGTGTTACTTTTTCAACCATCCTAACTAAACATTTTTATTTCCATGTTATAAAACTCCAGACAACTTGTAACATAGTTTGCTGCACATTCATTCACATACATAATATCTATGTGAACTCATAAAGTCATATACTTTTATTTTAACTTTTAAAGAATTAGCAGTCTTGTTCAATTCCTGATGTTTCACATTTTATTATACTTACATAAGATATTCCTTAAAACATCTACATGACTATATTGTTAATAAATTGCAAGTAGTATATTACATGTATAAAATAATGACTTTATGAAAGTATATACATGTTGATAGTTCAAACAACAAAAAGTGTCAATATATTCAATTCTAAATACATGTACATGTGATATGAAAATAATAGAAGATATAAGAAATGGACGGTAAAGTTTACTTTTCTAAAGCGTAGCCTTTTTTCAAGATGTTATATTTAAAGAATCATATGCTTTCAGCTTCTGTATAGCAAGAGTAACGATGTCTTCAAGTACACAAATGACATGGTGGTTAAATTCGTTGGTCTAATAAACGAAAATTAAACACATTACGTACATTGATAAAGAAATATTATTGTCAACATCACCAATTCCGCGTCATCACTTATTTCACGGTAATGGCAAATATTCATGTGACCAGACTTAAAATTGTTCAGAATTGACATATTTTATTCATACACCTATACAACAAAGTTTTTGAGTAAAATATTTTAAATCTCTAGATTTTTACGTAAAACAGAACAACATTTTAAAAATTTCTGCAAAAAGCAACAACAGAACACTAAATTTGTGCGTATGTCTGAAACAATCATCATTTTTTAAATGTTCTTGTTTGTTGAAAAAGAAAATTGAGTTTCAAAGTAAGGATATTTTTAATATTTAAAATCAAGCAAAATAACATTTAGAAATTATAACTGAATCATGAAAAAAACTGAAATGAAACACCATTACCGCGATTTAAATGATGACATATTGTTTTCAAAATGGCCGACATTTGGTCTACGTTTGGTCCATTAAATTGACTTTGACTGAATATATTGTTGTTTCCTTGTGCCATACAGCAGAAAATACCTATATGTTATAGCTTATGAAAATTTTTGTACCATAAAGTTCTTTTGTTGTTTGGTTTCTGGTTTCAAAGCGTTAAGTACTGTGAACTAAGAGGGGCACAGTATACAACTATTTTACAGTTTTTCCCACATTACGTTCTGTCTAGGGTTTTTTTCTGTCTTAGAAAGGTGAGAGAACTTTAACAGTCTGAACAAAATATCAATAAAATCTCAGTTACACAGCTAGGACAGACAAAACGATAAATCATTTTATTTCCTTTTTCTAAGTATTAAATCTCGTAAAAATAAAGCTTAGAGTATAATAAATCAATATCCTTACTAAACTTAGATCTGGAATTTGTAATCAGCACTGTTAAACCAGTGAAAAACAAATGGAATACAAGTTTAAGTTTGTTTATGTTTTGTTGAACATACTTTTATAGTCTCAACTTAAAATTTAGACGAAATTCAAACTTATTTTGCAGCAATATGATGGACATGTATACAATACAGCAGACTAAAACAAAGCAACATATTTTAATATAACAGCTGTTACTTGAGTAATTTATTTTACACGTGATTCACGAATTTTACACCCTGGGAGAATTAACAACATTATACAGGAGGAGGAACAAATGTTAAAACAATAATTACTCTTGACTTCCCAGGTACGATAATTACCTAGACATTCCATTTTAATTTCCATACAATACTGAGACATAATACATATTTTGTATATAATATAGATGAACAATTGATTGACGTTAAGTAATTTGCATAATTGTTACCTAATATAAAAACAAACAACTACAAAAACTATCGTATGGAAGGAAATATACAAAAATATTATTCCATGGTTCTATACAACTGGTGATTTATATCTATCATTGCATTGTGATTTATTCAAGCTGTTGAATACACGTATATGGAGCATTGGAAACAATAATGAAGTGCACATTGAATACACACTGAAATAATAGACCGTACATATATGCTCAATAGATAAATGCAAACACATGTCATAAAATAATAATAATTATGTAAATGCTTCTATTATTGTTTCGTTCCTGTAATAATTGTCATATATTGTGTTTCATAATTTTGCAAAGTTATTTCAAAATACAATACAAGATTAAATAGTTAAAAAATATGCTATATGCAAGAAATACTAAAATAATTTGTAACCTTTCAAACTAAGGTTACATAAAGTACACAATTAAGCATCATATTTTATAACTACAGCGCATAATGGCGGCATATTGATTTAATAAAGTTCAATTTCATATTCAAAACAGCATTTGTTATATTATCTTTAATATATGAAACCCAATTTCTGAAATTATTTCAACCTTTTGACGACTAAGTATATAAAATATTTGAACAATAAATATGCAGAGGTGAGACAGCATTTAAATTTGTAACATGAAAACAACATTTTCTTTGTATATGTATTACACTTTGTATTTGATACAAAGTATACATATCATGTCAAAATCCTACAATGTGTGACATCTATGAAAGTGAAGGATATATATATAAATCCATTTGTATTCGAGTAATGCTCATATTGTCTACGACCTAGAGGTATGTTGTATATTTGATCGTTCCTATGACAAAAAATGATCACTTTTCAACATTCCGCATGAATACAAAAATGACCGTAATTCAGTTTGCGTCCATCATTTTTTTCTGTACAAATTACGTTTTAAACAAATTTATATAGACTGACAGTGCATAGAAACAGTACAATACCTTGTCAATAATTGATTTAGAGCATGCTACAAATACGTACAAATCTCTATATTTTATGAAGAATGGATTAATGCCAGATAAATTATTGACTAGCACCTGGAAATGTTATTTTTATACGAACGAATGCATTATTGACTAGTTAGCAACCTCTAATTGATCTGATGCAGTTATGACGTACGTGCAAATAATGTCAAAAAAATCTTTGTTGAAGTTCGGCTTATTTTTTGCAATATAAAGGAAATTTCTTTTCAGGATAGTTCATTCACACGTTCAAACCACTTACATTCTGCCTAGCATTGAATTATTAATTTTACAGGAATATAATATAGTAATTACAGTGAGATAATGGTGTCGGTGTTATATTGTTCCATATTTTATTACGTCTTGATTATCCCTATGAGGCCATGTGTTATATTTTAATGCTGGTAGTACAAGACTGTTTTAATGAATGAATGCTCGAATGCTAAAATAATGTACCCGGCGTGTGTTAAAATAATAGAATGGTTTAGGTTAACCACTATTAGAAAAACAAATGTTATTAGCAGAGAATATGCAAGCATGCTATAGTCATCAAGATATACAAGCTGTATGATTGAAATAATTACACAACTGTCTCTGTTAAACTATAAATCAATGTTTGCACTATTTTATGTCGATCAATTTTATTTGAATGCAGTATTTGTATTATTTTGTTTCCTTTGTTGTTTTAACGATTCAGTATGGTATGTTAATACAGATGGCGCACAACGTTTTATGTATGCAGTCAATACTAGAACAGACTAACTTAGAGAACCTCTTCTAATGTTTCCTAAGACGTGACGTTAATTGCCAATTACAATCGATATCCCTTTCATTCTCCTCTAACAGAATTCGTTTTGCTAAATAATACATGGAGATCTTAGATCAATTGTATTGATGATACTTATACTTTGAGCAGCAAAACATTAGACGTGTGATTTATGCCGCGTTTGACTATTGATTATTTTGACAACATCTCCACATTAACCATGTCTTCTGTCAGTGTATTTTTTTCCAAAAAAATTGCAAGCTAACCAATTGATACCAAATATCTTCATGTCCCCTTGCCTCCATAACAATAATCCTATTCAAACACAGTTTCATTCTATCAACTAAATTAATATATGTTTATATATTTTCATACAATCAAATCAGATATGTAATATAATACAAGAGTGATGTCTAGATGTAACGAATATTTGTCACCATAGTAAATAACAAATACTCGAGCACACACACGTATAGCCGTCTTGTATGAAAGTGACAGAATAAAATTTCTTAGTACTTCGTATTTGTAATTTAAAGAAATATTATAATATAAAACCTACCGCACAAACATTTCTACGCCAGTTCCTGCCATATTCCGTTTAATTCCTTTCCATGATTTCTTTAGTTTAAACACTTGTCTAGCGTTTAGAGGTAGCCGCGGATCTGTAGGGGCTGGGGGAGCGGGGTCAGGTAGTGATCCATCAGCCATTTCATCATTTCCTAATCCACGTTCGTGCATAATTTTGTAAACACACCGTTCAATAATATAAAGCCTCACTTTGACAACTCGGCTTTCTCCGCCGATTCACTGTCACACTCGCTCGGAAAATAAAAGAATCCGTTGGAACGCTGATTAAGTATTGATCCAGGAATATCCCTTGTTTTCTCTGTAAAGCAACAGACACGAGAAGAAAATACAATATTAGTAGGATAGGCTGCTCGCAAACTAACGCTTCACTAACTGTACTATCGATGTTGTGATGATGCTATGCTATTATTTGTTGTAATTATAGTGTGGTGTTGTATTATTGGATATGGCTGTCCCGGCGGATAGATCGGCCGATACAAATACCATCTACGGACCAACTTAAGAAAGCTGAAGTATTCCCTGTCCATTTTCTTCAGAGAACTGACAACGATGGGTGATAAGATCATTTGCATACATTTGATGATTAATTTATGCGCGGAGTTTATATGTGTGGTTTCCCAAAGCGGCGGTTATTGGGGAATTATTTGAAAATGAATAATAATATCGAATTGTCTGGAAAATATCTGACACATTTATTACCTTACTGGAACTAACTTCCATCAACTTTAAAATATAACATTTTATGCACATTTCACTCTCATTAACTTAGAACAATAAATAACCAAATAACTGCATGAGGATCCATATGGTACCGGTTTATTAAAAGTCTGGTTTTACCTAGTTAGATATTAACCATACTACCTAGAAATACGCCCAATATAACTATTTATTGATTTGAGTCTACCGACATCAAATTGATTAAGAAAACAAATAGATCATCTGCCGATACAGGTAAATAGGTATTACCTTCAAAGCGAGATAACTGTGAATGAATATGAAAACGCGATCAGCCGAATTATCTTTCTTTGCAGTTTCGTAAATTCAGGATTTGTGCATGTTTTCACCCTATTTCACTTAGTATTACAATATTGACCATGTAATAAGATATAGAACAACCTTTCATATCCTGATCATAAAATATGTATTCTCTGTTTCCTTTATTATATATCAGTAATATTATATCTTTTATAGCTTATAAACAGGATTATTTAATTATGTTAAAAATAAGATGAAATGATTTAACTATCATGTATTAGTAAATTCACTAGTATTGAATATTGAGATGATAGTGAGAAATTAATGATGAATTAGTTAAACACATGTATATATGTCACACTGAATTAATTAACCTTGGATATTACAAGAAAAATAGATACCTTGTTTTCTAAAATGGTGCATCCAATGAAATACATTAAGCTGTCATCAGTGTACATGAATGCTTGCATATATTGTGTGAACATAGTATACTCAGAAACATGTTACTGTAACGGATGCGGACTTGAAAGATAGTATCTATTCCCACTATTAGTTACTACAATGTATTATTATACTTTACAAATTGTACTTAACAGGAAATAAAATTAGATTGATTCAAAATGTAATACTAATGAAAGGAAGTTTACAACGTTACCATATCATTCACGTGTTCCTATGAAATAAATTATCATTAATGATAAATTATAAATATTAAAAAACTTAACAAACACACGAAGTTTACGAAAATACCGTTATAATCCAGCTTAAAATCCACAAAGTGAGTCATCACAAAAATGTAAACACAAATATTTGTACAAATCAAAATAACTAGCAATGTAAACATAGATGTTAAGCAGACGATACAAAATTTCAAGTCAAACGACTGATGTTCCCATATATAAATAATTGACAACGCTTTAAACCTAACCGGAAATAGCCTAAGAGGTTAATTCAGTTTAACGAACTGACGTCATTTGAAATTGACTGCACTTTTTCATTGGTTAGTAGAAATAAAGCAACTTAAATCTAGCTTATCGTATCTCAACTAAATCTGAACTAATATATCAGGTTGGTGAAATCAACGTGAATATGCATACGTTCTATTCTGATGTACGGAAGTGAAACTGAAATCAAAACTGTATGATGTTAGAACATATGAATAAAGCATTTTACTATTTTTTTTCTTTTGTTGGCTGCAAACTCACATTATTTGGTTATTTTGTTTGTTAAAAACATTTTAGTTAATATTAACATATTTTCGCGGAAAACATTTTTTATAGCGCGCACATACGCGCACATACGCGCACACGCGCGAACATATGCGAGTCTGTCACGCAGCACATCATGTAACTGGTGTAAGGCCTTTGGTAAATATTGGAATTTTGCATTATAATTTGGTAATTATGTAGACAAGGATGAAGACCACAAATAAACAGGTCAATACGTGCAAATATTAGCAAATAATTTGGAAATTTAATTCAAAACTACCAGATTTGAAACCAAAGGCGATGAAAAATGGACTATGGATAAGTTTTTGAAACATAATACAAGATTTATGGCAAGCGTTATCATTCAAGTTTAATTCAGCACATGAAACTCACTTTTTAAAGATGAAAATTATATTTTTGACGACTACTTTGTGGTATATATTATGCTTTATTATTGTCGCCTGTACTGTAAACTATTTATTTTATCGAGGAAGAAAACAAAACAGCGGCATATACATAGAGAATATTGAATAAGTGTAAGTTTAATACTGAATTTATTGAACCAGTTGTATAAAGTTATATTATGCGAGCTTCAGGCGAGCATAATATAATTTATTCTATTCATCACATACCCAAAATAATGAATTTTTTAAATGAAAAAGAATCATTTTTCAACGACGCGCATATAGTGTAACGCTAACATATGGCGCGGCTTTACACTATGTATGTATAACGCAAATGACGTCACGTCAAAATATATGCACGGCCGTGCAATACCGTTTTTACACAAAATCGACACGGGTGTTTAATAATTGTAGTTTCTTATCAGTGTTTATATGTAGCTTAATCCCAGTTGGTGTATAGTGACAAAATCACAAGGAGTATCATATAGTGTATCATTTGTGAATGCTGCCGCTATAGTTTCACATTCATTTAAAATTCATACGGAAATTTAAAATATGACTATGAATAACAATTAATGTTTACTAGCAGGTTTTATCAGCCAGGTTTCATAAGCCATTATGTACTTTAAGTAAGCAAAAATGAAAATAAAGATATTAATATTAGTCTGTATACATGATCTTGTATCATAGTTTGGAGACCTTTCTGTTGAAAATGTGTCAGGGTTAAATCGTATACATATACATGCACAGTGCGTTAACTGGAGTGCGGGTATTAGTTACCCGCACTCCAGAGCATGCCCATTGATTGGCTCATTTTTGCTGGGGTTTACATATTGTGACGGCAGAGAAAGGGAAAGCGACAGAAATGTCATATTCAGATGTTCGTTCATTGGTTCAGTTTTGCCGGGGTTTCATATTGTGACAACAGGGAACGTGTTTTTATGTTTGACTATGATACAAAAGAGAAAGAACACCAAAACACTCGGCAATCTGATTAATACTCGGGGGCTACGCCCCCTCGTAAAAATCAGATAGCCTCGTGTTTCGGTGCTCTTTCTATTACATAGATAATATTATATCATAGTGTTGAAAATGTGTCAGAGTTAAATCGTATACATATACACGCACAGTGCGTTAACTGGAGTGCAGGTATTAGTTACCCGCACTCCAGAGTATGCCCATTGATTGGCTCATTTATGCTGGGGTTTACTTATTGTGACGGAAGAGAGAGGAAAAGAGACAGAAATATCATATTCAGATGCTCGTTCATTGGTTGCTTTTTCCCGGGGTTTTATATTGTGTCAACAGGGAACGTGTTTTTATGTTTGACTATGATACAAAAGAGAAAGAACATCATAACACTCTGATTACACCCCTCGTACAAATCAGATAGCCTCGTGTTTCTATTACTTATAGAACAACAACAACTAGTCAGTTTACAATAGTATAAACATGATATAAAGTTAGCTCGAGCTAGTGGTTGGCGGTAAAAGAGATATATTTAAGTCTATACAATAAAAATGAAGTAGTTTGACAAGTCATTGGTATACGTTGACTTCTCAATGAACAAACTGGTATGTTTTTAGCATGAACTGAAGTATATTTCATTACATTTTACATCGCACAGATTGATATGAATATCTTAATTAAAGTTCAAACAACAATATTGTCTTGCATCCTTTTTTATTTTATTTTATCGATTAAATCGGGTTATTAACTAATAAAAGGTATCAATGTTTTGTGTAAAAAATGTTTCATTCTTAGTGTTCAATACAATTTGTTACAATGTTACAAACATATCAATTGTAATACCAATGTTTTGAAATGACTCGGAAATTAGTATCTCCTTGTATTATTACAATATAAATATATCTTGAATTGATATAACACGTAAATCAAATTTACAACACTTTAACGTATCCCGTTTGATTTCAATTTCGACCAAATCAAGTCCTGATATTTTTTGGACATCTTTCAATCTGCTCAAAAACATTCCCCAGTTAGGGAAAATAGAACAGTGCAGACCATGATCAGGCGATACAAATGAAAGGAATGTTAAGGTTTATGATAAGGGAGAAAATGCTCTAAATGCTCAATTTGGTTGATCTCAAACTTTAGCGCGGGTACAGAATAAGTTATTCGATATAATCAATTATATCATTACTTGTTATGACTCCAAATAGCATTTATTTAAATTTAAGATTAAAAATACAAAGGAGAAAGCTGATGATAGCAGCAAATGGTGACGATAGTTCGTTATATAAACTTTTAGATGCCAGGTACTCTTCTAGGGTAGAAGATAGAACATGTAATTTGTTTAGAATGTAAAAAAGAACAAAATCTCAGTAGATCATTTACTATAGAGATGATGTAAGTAATATGGAAGCAATTCTTGCCATTTTTATTTTGACTTGCATGAAGAGTTAACTTTCAGTTCTACAAATAGTGGGAATATTCTATTGTGAAGATGCATGGTTTGTATTGCTTGATAAAAATAAGATTTCAATGTTTGTCAAATATAGGAATATTTACTTTTTGTAAACTAATTAAGCTATAGGAAGGGAAGTTATTGCATTACAAAGGAGACATTTTTTAATGTTAAAATATTTAACAGACTTTGTAAACTGATTTATACTGCTCGAGTTTTCATGTTAAAAATCTTGTCAACTAAGGGATCAATCGCAATTGCTAATCAGGCATTTTTATCTCTTTTAAATCCGATTTTCTAAATGTGAAATAGATTTAAGGGATGTATCGTTTAATGACAAGGGAAAAAACTGGTGAGAAATTTAATTATTTGTATAAAAGATTGATTTCCCTTCTATTTATTCCATCGCTTCAACTGTTGACACGCCATTTCCGAATGACTGCCCTTTATGCTAAAATTGGTTGATATGTTAGCAAACTTTATGGAGGGAATATGATAAGTTATTCGATACAATCAATCATAGTTTAGTAGTTTACAGAGTTTTTACTTGCTGCGAGCAAGTAACATTTATTTAAGTTACAGAAGAGAAAGCTGTTGACAGCAACATATGGTGACGAGAATGGATTCGTTAAATAAATTTGAGATGTCAGATATTCTTCTAGGGTAGAAGATAGGCACAATATGATATGTTTAGAAAGTAAGAAGGAAAATAACTCAATAGATCATTTACTATAAGGATGAGCAGCAATTCCTGCTGTTTTATTTTGACTTACATGCAGAGCTAACGTTCCGGTCTACAAATAATTGAAATATTCTAATGTGAAAATACACGTTGTCTAACAAAACTTTTATAACCTATTTATACCTAATATAGTTTACATCTCAGTTGGGAATAAAATAGGTCTTTTTGTCATACAGTATAATGAACAATGTGATTTTAGCAGTTAAACTCCAGATAAGGGGAGATAATTTCCCGTTAGAAACGAATATGGATATCGTAGGCTAGGTTCATATGAAATAATGTAAAAATGCAGTATTTCTCAAAACTTCTACAAAAGGCTAAAGCGATCTTCAATCGACTAATGTACCAGAACCAATATTCATGAGTGAGTTGTTTGTACGTAATAAGAGCGCAAGTTTTGTCATTACTTTATTTTAGAAATGTCAATCATATAATGTTGTAACTTGTGTAATATGATTTTAAATTCTAATGGAAAAGGTCGTATTTTTATGTTTTATGTTTTATGCACATTTTCTTATGTTAAAAATAAATCGCATTCGTTAAACAAATGTTTCTTGTTATCTGTCGGTATAAATTGGTATAGTTTGCTGCATGCAAATTATGTAAGTGTTCAGGAAAATGGCGAACATATTAAATACAAGACCAAAATTGAAAATTATAACGACATGATGTTCCTAAAAATATTTTAAACTTGTGAAAAACGATCAATATATCAGAAAATAATGTGTTTTAAGCCATATCTTAAAAAAAAAACAGATTGTTTGTTCAGAATATTTGCCAATAAACGGCGAAATTTTGAAAATGCACCAAACTAAACATCAAATATTTGTAAATAACATCGTGGAATATTATAAACTTTTTTACATGATACGATTAAATAACATTTTTTGTCTGTAAAAACAAAACTCGGACCTATTTTTAAATATGAGCAGTAGGTTATAACCTTGGCACCGGCACCTAAGGAATCCTAATTTGATTGCAAATCTATAAAGTTGTTATTTTTTATAGAAGAAAAACTGATAATTAATGTAGCCAGGATAAATTTTTCAGTAATTGTTTGATCAATTTAAAAGAAAGGCCCTGGATAGACTGAATCACATGTT